TTCTACTTTCCTATCCTTGTCAAAAGCTATTTGTATCAGTGGGAATCATACATGCTTGTGTGCATCATCCTCATCGACACAAAAGCTCCTCTTGACATGAACAGGCTTCCCCCACACGTTACACTTTTTTTTTTAATGTGGCATCCAAAACACTCGCCTGAACTGTCCATCACTGAAACAAATCCCAGAATCAGTGGTTGTGATCATGAATAACAACAAAGATGGTGAAATGCCAGAATTTCCATGATTCGGTCATGGTGTGCATGTACCACTATTGATTTGAAATGTGTTGCCTCATGGATTATCAAGCCCTCTTTTAGCTGGCCACTTCTGGATTCATACCTTGGGGTTTAAGGTAACCATTCTCTACAAGCAATAGTAGTCACAGACATTTTAAGTGTGAAAATTCAGTAAAAACACCCCTGTGTCATTTTTTTCTGACCACTGCATTAAAATACAAAAAAATTACCCAATATCTTGCCATGATTATTGTGGGAGAGAAAGAAATTTGGAACTTGTTTTCCAATTACTAAGACAATAAAGCAAGAAACCAGAATGTTGGTCCCTCTTCAAGCATATTGAGGCTCAACTGCAAGCCACATTTATATTTCTGTTTTTTAAGACTGACTAGTGAAAACACCCCAAACTCTTCAGTACAGCTGCTAAATAACTGCAATTTTCTATAACCTTTTATAATTTTATTTACTAGCCAAAGTCAGCAGGTAAGGCAGGCAATTCGGAATGCTCAGGAAGCCCTGGCTGGAGCTGCAGCATGGATGATAGATGCTCAAAGATCAGATACCCAGAAAATCCCCTTCCCATCATTCAGAAACACAGCCTTGGAGCTTGCTGCTGCAACCAACGTGCTAAAGCAAAAGGTACCTAATAAAAGTGGTTTGTGTGAACTGTATTTTAATAAATGGAAATGTACATTTTCCAATTAAGTGTTTTTCTCCCTGATATTATTAAAATGTGATGAAACTAGGAGTGGCAGGCTGGAAAGAAAGAGAAGGAAGTGGTTCTGGAAACAATGTGCAATGAAGCAGTGGAGCTTTCTGATGAAGGCCTTGCTGCAGCTGCTGAGAAACTCCTTGGGTCCAAAAATCAACGGGGTGGATTCGGGGAATAGAAGTTCTCCCTCTCGCAGAGAGAAGTCTCTGCAATGCCACGCTCCCACACGTCCTCCCCTACTCAAGAGACTTTGGGACCTCTAATGTACCCACCACCTACCGAACAAGACCTGCCTTCACAAGAGTGGACTTCCTTTGAGAGATTTATAGGGCTACAGGCAGCACCACGTGCCATGGGGACTACATGGCATGACGTGTGGTTTGGGTGGGCTTCCCCCAAGGGCTGCATCCAGCCCAGTTTCAGGACACTATTATTAAAACAAAGACACCCAGGGCTTGAAGGTTAGGGGCTACTGCTCTCCACAGCCACGTGATCCCACCATTTCTCAAGAGAAGCCCCCACTCTGTCCACCAGACCACTGGCTGCCAAGTTCATCACATGAGCTCTTATCTGTGGCACTCCCAGAATTCAGTAACACACATCTAAAGACAGATCACGGCCACCCCATCACTTGGAGGAACAAGGACTTACTGCCCCTGTGACCAGGGGACGTGGACACAGAGATCACCTGAAGGGAAGGCTGGGAGAAATCTCCATCTGCAGCACCAAAATGAGTAAAAATATCTCTTTTTGTGTCTGTTACAGTGCCAAAGATAATGAAAAGGAGAGAACGGAGTAAAAGAAAAGTAACTGGTTAGTGTGCGTGCCTCTGATATAAGGGGAAAACTAATCTAGATGGTGGTCTGAACTAAACTAGTTAGGGCTACTAACGAGATGCTCTAATGGGACTTTTCCATCTCCAGTGTCTATGATTCTGTTTTTTTAAAAAAGGAAAATTAAGAACTGTATGTTCATCTTTTCCTTTTAAGCTACACTTTAGGAATGATTAGGAACTGAAATGCTGGGATGAAAGCAAGAATTTCAGAGAAACTTATTTTGCATCTCCTGTGTGTTTTGACCTTAACATCAATGGAGGTGGATTACTGGCTTCCGCTTGGTCCTGGAAGCTAAAGAAAGGACAGATAATAATGATGCAAGTGTTATTACAAGAATAATATGTGGAATTGCAAAGAGATGCAGATCTGTAGGTCTTTTTGTTTTAGGCAATTTGAATGCAGAGGATGAACAACTGGACTTTGGATTCTGGTCCAGTTGATACTTGACTTCTTCCTAATCCAGAGCAGGGATGCTGTCAAATGGAAACCTAGCATTCCCTCCAGGGCTAAGGCCAGTTATTTCACTGAAGAGGCACGTGGTTTTAGGTGGGTTAATTTTTCTCCAGGTTTCCATACCTGGAAGAGGGTTGGATCTGCCAGGTGACTAGATGACAAGGAAAGGAGGGAGGATGACCTCTTGCTGCCTCAGTGCTGTGCTGGGGAGGGGCAGCCATGGGCTTGCAGTGATACGATACCACAGCAGCTGCACGCTGCCTCCCTATTTACATTACAGTTGTATATGCTCAGCTAAAAATAATCTCCTACCTCTGTCCTTCAACTGGTAAGAAAATAAGCTAATGTTTGCACTGAGTCTGAAAATACAAATTCATCAATATTATAATGACTTCCCAGAGGTCCCTGGGAGGAGTACGTAAGTGAGCCAAAGCTAATGATAACAACGCTATTTTTGTATGGCACTTACTCTTTACAACTCACACTCCTTTGATAATACCATGTGAGAAGCTTATGCAACTGCAACTTAATTGTAATAAAATACTTGGCGAAGCTGCGCTACACACCCAGCTATATCCCTGCTGTACTCCGGAGTCAAGATATATTTAAATGCAGCAGCATCACAGTGCCGCTGCTCAAAGCAGCACGACTAAATACTGTGCTTTCAACAAGAACACTAAGCCCCCTTCACGCAGGCAATTTCCTAACGAGTAATGACTGCTCTGCCGCATGCCTGCTAATAAGGCTAAATGCTTTCATACAGCCACATCGGGCGGGGGGTGAGGTCACCAGAGACTTCAAGCACCTAGAAACCATCTCTCTTGCTCTCACTCTCTACCCAGTCGAGGGAAAGCCAGCAGAGCCGTCACCACTATGCAGGGACACAGCTGATCTGGGAAGAGACCCAAGTCCTGGAATCTGCAGGAAACCTAAATTAAATTCCCGTTTCTAATCATATCTCTACGTGACTTGCCCTCCATTCTGGAAGCATCCCCGGTGGGAAACACAGCTGGGGAGTATTTTGGCTGCGATGATGTCAGCCCGCTCCTGATAGGCTTCTCCGTAAGGTGACACTTTGCTGAGTGAGACCCGTGTGCCTGGCCCTGGATTTTTACAACCTCAGGCATCCTTTCTGCCAGAGGATGGCACTCCACCCCTCTGCAAAAGGGCTCTTCCCGGCGCCCAGGACTACAACACATCGCTTGCGTTGACAGATTTGCGAATCAGACATGACACAGATGCTACCTGCTAATTTGTACCTCTTCTGCTGGTGCAGAGACCGGTGGCCTGGCTGCAGGGAGAGAAATGAGAGCGAGATGAACATTGCAGGTGGAAGATTTCTACTTTTGAAATCTCATTATTCAAGGCACCGGGGCAAATTATAGTAACTGGTCCTAATCCAAGGATGGTTCTGCTAATCACGAAGCCTGAGATGCACCAAAATACAGTTGAGCAGTGGAGAAAAAAAATGACATCTTTCAACTGAAAGCACTAGAGGTCCCATCTTCTATCAGCTGTGCAGATGCACGCACATACCTGAACAAAAACACACAGGGAACCTGCACGTCTGACAGGAGAAAGGGGACGTGTCACATGTAGCGATTTACCACGTATGCACAATTGGGGAAGGATGGGCCACAGACTGCTAAAAAATGTAAGACATTTTTCGTGTAATCTGCTCCTCGGTACTGTCACTGTTTGATTTTCTTCTCCAAACTGTCAGCCTGAGGTGTTTTACTACATCTGTCCACACCCAGCTCCTCTCTCCCTCTCTCTCATTCTGTTCTCCAGCGCTCAGGTGCAGCATCAAGGTTGCAGACGCTGCAGTTCGCAGCACTCAAACCACAACAAAAAGATTCGTGACAAGATGATTTAAAATGAATACTTCTAGGAAGAAAAAAATGCTATCCAGTATATCTGAACTGCTCTAGCCTCAACACAGCAGAGTCTAAATCACTCAGAAAATTGATAACACTAAATAAATAATAACTAAATAACTAAATAATAACTAATAACTAAATCACTCAGTGTCAGGATAACACTTTATGATCCACATGTACTCCTTCTCAACCTAAAAAATACCTTTGGAAAGTTACAAGGTTTCTTCCTACATTGTCAACCAACGAGAAACAAAGGTCAGAAGCACAGCTTGCCCAGCCACCTAGAAGGTTTTTCTTCCCAAATTTCCCTTGAACACACAGTTTGTCTGAGCTGTGCAGCGTTTAAACCACCTGCAACCGAAGCCTTAGTAAAACTCTGTAGCTCATTTCAGTAACGTACGTGTGTGATGGAGCCGTTCCCAGGCAGCTCCAAGTTTTCAAGCCATGGAAATTCACTGCCTTGTGCCCTACCTATCTCTCAATGGTAGGATTTGAGCTGAATCTAATCTGAGCTTTCTGGTGTGGAAAGTAAAAAATCACCTATCAAAATGTAAAATATATCCTCTCCTACTTTTTTATATTTTAATCAAAACCCATGAAGATCATGCAATTCTTCCTGTGGGTTCTCCAGCTATAAGAAAGACCTGTTTTATGTCCAAAAGATTACACTTATCATCGGTGTGACTCTGATGGTTCTCCTGGCACAGCGAGGGGGGATGAATTCCGGACCAGCGTTGGTCTGATGGATGGATGTGAACGATCAAGAATCAACTCCAGGCAGACCCAAAGCGACTGAGACATGCTGAGGAAAGCTGCACCCAGGGAGCCGCAGCGTGCGCCCCAGACCACCCCCCTGCACCCCACCACGCGTTGCCATTACCTGCGCTCGATGCTCCCCAACCGCAAACTGTATGACGGCGATGCCCGGGCTATGGCTGTCTTCAATCCTCTCCACAGTGCTGGAGTCTATTTTCAGGTCATTGCTAATTTCCGCGCTCTGGATGAAGTCTTCTGTTTTCAAGTCCTCTACTTTCTTCAGCTCCCCGTTGGCCAGCTGAATGATCGACCCCTTCATGAAGTAAGGGGGCAGCGTGGGAGGCGCGGCGGCGGCGGGGGAAGCGATGGACTGCACCACGGGCAGGTGGATCTGCGCCTGCACCATGGTGGCCTGGTAGGCGGGCTGGGTGGTGAGGGGCTCCGCGCTGAAGTTCTCGCTTTTGGGGACGGCGGTGGTGACAAACGTGTGAGGCACTGCTGCAAACTGGGGAGACGACGTGACGATCGCAGGCGTGACTCCTGATGGCTCGACGTCTGCGCCACCGACCGGTATCAGCA